ATTACTCGTCTCCCTCTGGAACTATGAACTAACTAAATGTTGAAGGGTGAGGTGGCATTTATTCTTTACTCCCTTACATGACCATGTTACCGCTCACTGTGTAGTCCTTGATAACTTACTCATGTTAGTTACTATGTATGTTGTGTATATATTAAAAAAACAGACAGCTGTGCTGTAATGAAGGATTGAATCTTTCACCTTGTAAAGTAATCTGAAGTATGGAAAAACCAGAGCATTGAGAGTCAGATTGTGATATCCTAGCTCAAATATTATCCACAAATGGTCCTACTGAGGTTAAAGTACTATTCAGTCTGAATAAGAGTATTATAACCTGCATAAGTTTAATGTTTGTGGCATGGGAATAGTCTCAAACGAATATTATGATGATTTGCAAAGTTAACTAGAGTTCATCAGAATTATTTTTTTTTGCAGTGATGTTTTTACTTTTGTCAAAGCTCTTTTGCAAAATCTTTGAGGTTTAACCTCAACATCTTTGAGGTCTATAAAATAAAATATTTTAATTCTAACTTCTTGGTTTTTGAAGGACCCCATTCTCCAAAAGAGATTTTTTCTGAAAATGTTGAATTGTTAACAAATAGTTCGTCATACGATTATTGACCAGCTGTAAAGATTACTTTGATATTCCAACCCTATTACTCTGTCTTGAAAGAAAATGAAGGTTCATTAGTATCCAAAAGAAATCTGTTTTGTTGCATTTATCAAACAAAAACTATTCCACACAGGTCACAAAGTTCTGAGGAAAGTCCTTTCAATATGGAAATATTGCAATATCCTGCAAATACAAAATACGTCTATTGAAAACTGTTCAAAGGACGATGCATTTATTACAGTATTCTTTGCTAAAAAAGTGTTCTTCTGCCCATGAAATCATTCTGACTTCAGATTTTTATGCTGAACTAGGTTTATCCAGCACACAGTATGCTCAGCCCCCAGGAAAACTGGATCTTACAGATGCAAAGTACAAAGTCCCTAACTTTTCAGTGGGTAATCTGCAAAGCCAGTTGAGAGGTGTGTGTATAATTTGGCCAGATACTCTCAAACAGGATGTGAAGAGGTAAACATACATTGTTCCATGCCCAGCCTCTCCTCAACCTCCTGTCCCCCCATCACTCAGCCCCTGTAAAGGTAAGTAAACACTGTAATAAATAAATTGTGTGTTAAATAACGTTCTGCTCAGTTCACAGAAGTTGCATAGGGGTTCCTGGACAGTGAAAAGGTTTAAAACCACTGCTTAAGGCCATTACTTACCCTTTTCTAGTCCCCCCCCCACCCAGTGATTTAGCCCAATAATGCAAAACCTTCCAGCCCTGTGTACCAGATGAGTCGTGTGGGGGTGGGTCCTGGGCTGAAACCCATGGGCAGTCTGCAGGCTTGATTCAGTGTGGGGTTGCTCTATGGGTGCAATCCTGTGCTCTGGCCCAGGCCTATGTCTTAGATCCAGCCATGGAGCAACCCTATGCTTAGAAGCTGCAGCAATTAACCCTGCCACCATTCCCATGCTACCAAATTTCTGGACCCATGGGGAGCCCTGCAGGCTGGATTACACATCCCCGTAACTCAGAGGTTGAGCACCACCAGTTTAGCCCATCCTTGCACAAAGATCTCTTCGGAGCCTACATCATTAGAATATAATGGAGACCATCTTCAAAAGGCATCGAACCTTCTCCTTGTATAAGCAGAGAGAAATTTTATGTGGAAGGATTCCTCTATCAATGCCATTTTAGGAAGACAATTTAAATCATTATTACTATGATGCACAAACACTGTTTACTGTCTGTGGAGCACCATATATATACACATACTACAGTACAGTTTTTACTATAATTCATTCATTCATACATATAGCATTTGCAACTCTTTATGGAATCATAAATTTTAAGAGCAGCTTCAGCTTTGGTAATTCTCTGCAGAGGTATCACGAGAATACGACAAGGCATCTTTTTAATTTATAAACTGTTGTGACTGATATGTAACTTATGTCTGAACTCCTGTATAAAATGTAGGTATGTTAAATTCAGAAGGCTGAACTCTAATTAGTTAGCATTGCCTAATAACATAAGGCAGTTTGATGGTTTGCTTTGGTGCCCTCTAAAGACAAAATGAACACTAACGAGGCTATTTTACATGTAATTCACTTTAGTAATTTAAACTGATATTAATAGTGGGAAAAATCCCCTTTAATAAATATTGAGAAGCAGAACTGAAATCTGGTTTCATTATGTAAAAATACCTGTAGTAGATGCTTGGGGGGAAAGCTAGAGTACCTCCTCAAATTATTTCAGTCGATCTATGAAAATCACCCTAGCAAGATAATAAAGAAGCAAGTTAAATAGTGTCATTTCTTCTAAGTCTTCTCTCCTACAATACTAACAAAATAATTACTGAAAATTAAAACAATGTGTGGGCCAATGCTACATTTGGAGATGCGATTCTACTATGATTCAGGATGTAACCAAGGACTTGCTGCGCAACCACTACTAAACACAGTGAATCTTAAAATATGTGCAACAGGATGCCAAAATCTTGCCACTAGATCCATGTAGAGGAACACATGCACCTAAATCTAATCTTGCAATACTGTCTACATCGTTGATGGGTACAGCACCAATGAAGATACAGTCTCTTCTCTTGGGCTAAAGGGCTTGGGGGAAGGAGTGGGTAGGGGATCTCAGGCATAAGTGCTATGCCTGGTTACCCATCATTCTCCCACTGGCTCCCAATCTAAGTGTATAGAAGAGCAGGGGGAGGATACCTCTCTCTCATTCCCCAGTTGTACTGAACCATGGGGCAAGAGAGGGAGCTAATTTGCCTACTTCTGCTTCCACTAGACAATTGGGAGCATAGTGGACTGATTTTTTTGACAGCTAGGATGATAAAAGAGGAGGTAGTGTCTGTCTTGTCTGTTTGGGAGTATCCATTTTGGGCTCTAGCAAGATGGTCTCTAATGAGGGTGGGTTAAGATGTTGACATCATCTTGTTTGGACTCTAACAAGGATTATTCCCCATATTGCAAAATCATTCTGTGGATTCTTCACCTTCCTTTAAGGATCCCAGAGCTGAAGTTTGAGGGTCTAAATTACATTCAGCATGACTTCAGTGGGTCCTAGTGAGATCAGTAAGCTAATATGGATGCACATTGAAATCCTGAAAGCCCACAGTCCTTGAACAGGCATGGTGAGGGGATATGCCTCCATGTGTCAGACAGGATGGGGCTCCCCTCCTCTTTAATTGTCTACCTGCTCCAAATAGAAGACAAGCAGGAGACTCGGGGTTCCAACAAAGGTCTCCAAGGACATCTGAGGGCATGGAGGGACAACGGTCTTCACACCTCCTCAGGACTTTGAAGAACAATGACACATTACCCAGGTGAAACCCCTTTTGGAACACTTGGAACAGCCTTGTGGGGTAGCTTGTATGGTGGGTTTCCATACCTTTAATTAAAGCTAAGACATACACATATCTGTGCCCACATCAATAGTTTTCATTCATGCTATTCAAATTGTAGGACTGGGTCCTCATTACTATAATGAAAACACACAAGAGTAACTGAGGGCAGGATTTGGTACCAAGCAGGGAATGCAGGGGAATCCTAATCTCTTCTACCAATAAGCCACAAAAATATTTTTGAAGTATTTTTGGTTTTTTAGAGTGGAAAATGAATATACACTTACAATGAGGTTCTTATTCTAGCCAATTTTATTTTCAAACTAGGATCTTGGGGCTGAGGAAATCTGTTCGCTCATTTTGGTGGACTTTAGACGAGGCCCTACCGTAATACTGTATGCCTTATGCATACATTCTATTTATTTTTTAAAGTATTATTTCCGTTGGATGCTGTCTTCTAAAATACAATGAAGAAAATTTAAGTATTCCTAGGTTTTGGATGAAACAGGATGAAAACTGACTTGAATCTCTCCCTTTAGTAAATTATGCCTATTTTAGCTGTCTCACAAGGATACTTAAATTATAGTTTAAACAGTCAGAAAAGCCACCTTTTCAGTTTTCTTTAGAAAGTGTACAAATCAATTATTACAACTTCTAAACTCAGACTCATGAAAGTAGACCTGCAAAAAGAGGGGTCTCCCAGAGAACTGTTAATGTTGTTTCAAAGAGATATCACAGAAAGTTAAGAAGGATTCTAGATAGATATTGCTATCTTTAAGAATATTACCTGTTTAATAAGTGACTCAAAATTTTATAAGCTGCATACTCCTCAGGGCATTGACCTATCATTTGTATTTGTCTTTAACATTCAAGTGTATTGTGATGCTAAAAATTAACAATAACCAAAGGTTGTCATGAAGTAATAGAGCTTAAAGAGGCCCAAGTCCAGAAATCAAAGGCCAACTATGGAAAATACTCTTGTGCTAATGAGATATTCCAAAGAGTAACACCATGCACAGAACAAAGAAAAGTGTTGGCTTACACTTCTCTCCATTCATCTCAGTTTAAAAGTGAAATCTACCTCAAGATCTGTTGCTTTGAAAAGGAAGAGGAAGATAAGTTCTGGGTTGGGTGGAAGTAAGAGTGCAGTAGAGAAGGAAAAGAATGATTGTGATCTGAGTACCCAAAAGGTAAAAGGGCAAAAGGAGTGTGATGCACTGAACAAGAGAAGAAAGGAAGGAGAAATGAATGTTCTGGGTGGAAACAGGAAGATAAAGGACATGTAAATGTTCTTAATGGAGTGCTCTAAAGGTTGTCATAATACTACGAAAGGAAACAACTGAGGGACCTGAAGAGGTCTAGGGAGGAGAAAGCCAGGGAAAG